CTTTCCTTGGCCCTGTCGTCCCCTCCCACCCCCCCCAGGGCCATTTTGGGCCCAAATCCCCCCGTTTTGGGTTCCCCTCCCCCGAACCCGCCGGTACCTGAGGGGAGGGGCGCGGGGGAGGGGCCGGCGCGCGCAGCCCTGGCCACGCCCCCCGTGCGCGCTGCCGCAGGGGGCGTGGCGACGCGGGGGGCGTGGCTGCGCTAGATGGGCGTGGTTTAGCGCCTGGGGCGTGGCTTAGGAGCTGACGTCATTGTTGGAGGGGCGTGGTCAATTGGTGGAGGCGTGGCTTCGAGTGGGCGGTGCTCCTGTGTGAAGGGGCGGGGCTCAGCGGTGAAGGGGCGTGGTTTGGGGAAGGGGCGTGGTTTGGGGAAGGGGCGTGACCCCCAACAGGAGCTGGGACCCCTCCCAGCCCACCCAAAACAGGGGCTGGGACCCCCCAGACCTCCCCAAAACCAGGTGCTGAGACCCCCCCCCAAACCCACCAAAACGGGCTGGGACCCCCCAAAAAATCAGAGCTGGGACCCCTCAGACCCCCCAAAATGGGTTACTGAGACCCTCCAGACCCCCAAAACAGGAGCTGAGACCCCCTAAAACCCCGCAAAAAATCAGAGCTGGGACCCCTCAGACCCCCCAAAATGGGTTGCTGAGACCCTCCAGACCGCCAAAACAGGAGCTGGGACCCCCCCAGACCTCCCCAAAACCAGGTGCTGAGACCCCCCCAAACCCACCAAAACGGGCTGGGACCCCCCAAGCCCCCCAAAAAATCAGAGCTGGGACACCTCAGACCCCCCAAGATGGGTTACTGAGACCCTCCAGACCCCCAAAAAATCAGAGCTGAGACCCCTCGGACCCCCCAAAATGGGTCACTGAGACCCTCCAGACCTCCAAACAAGACCTGGAACCCCCCAAGTCCCCCAAAGCTGGGTGCTCACAACCCCAAAACCGGTGCTGGGACCCTCCAGACCCCCAAAAAACAGGTGCTGAGACCCCCCCCATCCCCCCAAAATGGGTTGAAGAGACCATCCAGACCCCCAAAACCAGCGCTGGGACCTCCCAGTCCCACCAGAACAGGGTCTGGGACCTCGCAGACCTCCCCAAAACAGGTGCTGAGACCCCCCCAAACCCACCAAAATAAATGCTTAGACCCTCCAGCCCACCCAAAACAGATGCTGAGATTCCCCAGACTC